ACAATGTAGACATATATGGAAACATCATGTTATAAACCATAAATATATGCAGTTTTTATATAATTAAAAAAAGAAATAAGTCTCTTTTTCAAAAAGAAAATCATATGCATGACTCTAGGCCTAACTCAAATCAGCCTTTGCGTTCCTCTCCTAACCCACGCACCGTTCTGCTGAGACGGTGGGCCTTCCAGCATGCGTATTTACCTGCATCTTTCTTATGTAAAACTCTGAACTATTTCGCAGTCCCCAGGAAAGAGTTCCGGGTAGCTACTTTACCACAACCTCTCGGCCTTCCCTTAGCCCTGCATGGTTACACTTCAGGCGTACAAACCACTCAGAGTGCTTTAACCATGCCTGGGCCTTCCTTACTGTTACAGGTTTGTATATAATACACTGTTACATTGGCCTGGAATTGTCCATCTCCTGACTTTTCATAACGAGTTCCTACTGGTCTTTCAACTCAGCTTCACATTCCCCTCGTTACTTCCAGAGTCAATTGTTCTAAGTACTGTTTTTGTGCATTAAACATACATTTACAATTGCTCCTATCCCCTGTATCTTCAGCATTATATTTAGGAATTATAATGAGACGTTCGAAGAAGGTCTGTCACTATTTTTTTTTTTAATCCTACAACACAGGAAGCTTTATTCATCCGCTGCTGCTCCAAAGAGAGGCTGGGAGGGTCACTCACTTTAATATGGTGTCCTCTTGGGCTTCTGCCAATTCTTTGGCAATCCGTTTCAGTTCATCCTGCTGCTGCTTCTCCTCTGCCGCTATCCTCCTCTCCTCTTCTGCCCGAGGTTTTAGGTAACTGTAGTGCGTGGCTCTGGAGGCCATGCCGAGGAATAAGAAGGAGCAGCGGCCGAGCTTGATGAGCGGAGACACCTGCACCATCTTGTCCCTGACCTTCGCACCGGAAGCACAACCCGCAGACCTAGGCGGACGCCGCACAAGCCCGCATAGCAGTTGAAGCAAAGGCAGAGCTGGGAGGACGCATATGCTGTTAGCGGCGAGAGAGGGGAGGCGGGAAGGTCTGTCACTTTTAATCACTTCATCCCTAGCACTAGTATCTGGCACTGAGATGTCAATGACTATTTACTTAACTGAATTAACTGCTCAACATAGCAAAAGGCTTATGGGTGTATTTAGTCAGGCATTAACTGCTCACGTAAGTTCCACAGAAAACCCTGGTTGAAGTCAGTAACCTCAACAATAAGGACGCTTTATATTCTTGTGCCTATTTCTAGAAGTTACACACATAATTAGCTTCTTCTGCCTCTCCTTAACATAATGTGAAATAGTCCAGGCAGCTTCCCAGGAGATCCACTGTGCTGCTTGAGGGTAGGGTAAGAAGTTTGCCTCGGTCCGGGTTAGAAGTCAGTGCTTAGAAACTATTAAAAATCAAGTTTTTCTTGGAAAGTGTATCTTTACAAGTAGCAGAAAGTCAGAGTAATTTAAATAGTTGCCAAGGAAATACATTTCAGAGTAATGTGTTTTTATTATATAGGAATTGATAAAAGAAGGGCAAGACCCGGAAGTGGCAAATCTGGTCTTCCATATTCTTCAGTCCTCTTGATATTGTTTAAAAGATAATAATTATATTTTCCCTCACCTTGCTTTTCTTGTGTAAACAAACATATGCATGTCTAATGAAAAAAATATGGTTTCTAAAAAAAGACAAGCCAGTATTAAAGAATCTGTGTCCTTGATATAAAATATCATTAATATTAATATTCTATTAATGATGTCTAAATATTGGGAAGAAATATCAACATTTGACTTATGCAGGAATATATGGAAGTTAAAAATACACATATAAAACTATTATTTTTTATAACTCTTAGCCTCTATAGAGTATTATTCAATACTCACATAAAATTTGAAACACTTCAAAAGTAGATTCAAAGTTTTATTTTCTTACGCTGCCATGAATATATATAACATATATGAATAGAATAAAGTATCTTGTACGTTTTGAGTAGAAAATCTCAATACTCAGTATCACTCTGTTCCAAGAAGTAAATATATCCTCAAACTCCATTTCACTAAGTTATAAGCTTCTGCAATACAATCTGTAATTTAGGGACTCTCTAAAAGGCTTCCAATAATTATCTTTAAATATGACCGTCACAGGACATGAGTGGGTGTTTAGTAGTTAGTTATGTACATACAATCTGATTACAAAATCCAAGACAAATTCTAAAACAAGCCTTTTATATAGAAAAAGTTCAGTATTATAAGTTTCCTATGTCAATACCAACATCCATTCCAACTCCTTCCTACCACCACCATGACTACCACAGTATGATTCAGGCAGCCCTATAGACAGACAGTAATCCAGTGACTCTTAATCCTCTTGCTGTTCTTGGATACCCAGAATTTCATATCTACTTTCCTTGCAGTGGAACCAAGACTATGTTTCTAGAATTCCTTATATTAGCTAGGAATGGTGTGATAAGGAGATGAAAGAATTCATACAAAATTACAGCTGATTCATCTTACTCTTTTATTTTCACTTAAGAAATGATAAAAGGCAGTGAATGCCAGAGATTTAGGTCCCAAAACTGAAGGCTTTGCGCCTGCTCACCTTAGACATCTTCTTGGATGCCTTTGATCTGAGTCACTTGACCTGTACTGACTAGGGGAGGAGGAAAAATTAACAGTCCTCATGTCCTCCAGCTTCAAGGCCAGCACCCTTTTTGTCCTAAAATACAGATTGTGTTTCTTAGTTCAAACAGAAAACAGGCCTCCATACGTGTTAGTAAATAGAATTAAAATCTTAGCAATAATAAATTTAATCCTAATTAAACAAAATGCCTCTCTTCTTTTTGTACCAAGAGTTTCAGTGGAAATAAATAAAAGCGGTAAGGAGATTTAAAAATGCTCGAGAATTTCTTGCTAAGTTCTTCTCTACTGCTGGAAAGTCCATTTGATAGCAAGCAGAACCTATCTGCTTCATATCATCTAGACATATTATTGCCAAATGTGAGTAGCTATTTAACCACCTCCAAACTTTACAATGCAATTTTTGGTGTATCATACATATGCTAAATATAGTCAAAATATTTACTTATATTTCTGTCAGGATAAATTTACTTTACTGAAAACATTGTTGAAAGCGGAAGACAGTGTGAACATTTTTTCCTTTCCTAATTTCAGTAAGACTATGATATGTATTCTGGACATTTCTCTAGGTACCTATTTACCTGATCTCAAAGGAATTCAAAAGTCACAATAGGGAATGTTTTCGTAGCTACCCTTAGAATTTAAGAACAGTGAACAATAGTCTAAAGTTATTTATATATGTATATATTCTAAAATTATGTATATGTGTAACTACATAATTTAAGTTAAACATCTTAATTTCCAGCAAATCATTTATTCCATTAGTTGCAAGTAAAAAGGTGAAAGTTCCAAAAAGTGGCAAAGATACTTCCTTTTTCTGTCTCCATATACATACACAACATCTAACTAATTTCTACCTTCTCGGCAGGTTAAAGATGGGTTTCTCATTTAGAAAGGACTAGAGGATCCTTTATGACATACTTTCCTGTGATTTACATATTCTCATTATTTAATTTTTATCACAATAATCTTCTGTCATATCTGTACAAGTTATAGGTCTTCCCAGAGAAAGAAATGCCTACCTCTAACAGAAGCTAAGTAGAAGACAGAGTTTTCTACCCAAGGAGAGTGTAGAGGCAGAAAAACACTGGGTATGAACTTGAGGAATTATATTTAAGGCAGTTCCTCACTATATCACTGCAGTATTAGCCTTAAGAAATAGTATTTAAAGATTGAGAATTTTTTGAGTTGAGGAATGGGGACACTTACTCATTATTTAAGAGCTAATGATAACTTCTGGTACTAAATGTTGTCAGCATTCAGATTTCTGTTCTATACCCAGATTTTAAGAAAATCCAAAACATCATAAGAAACTGTCATTCACATTGGGAGGATATTAACCAAGCATAAAATATACCGCTGTAATAGTGAAAAGTATAGAATTAATATTTAACAGTAACAGTACTGACAATCAACAATAATTGTAGAAGTACTACTTTAAAGGGAAGGGCACAATTTTGTATTTCAAACAGATAGGGAATGATAAATGTCATTCTCTTTCATTACTCACCTTTCCTCCTTCATGCACACATTCAAAACTCCAGTAGTCCCTTGTCCTCAACACTTTCCCTTCCTTATTTAACCAGTCCAATCACTACTCTGCCCTCTTCTCTGTCCAGTGGCTCTCATTCTGAATAAGACTTCAGAAACACCCTTCACAGTGATGGGTTTTCTTTATATGTGCATGTATCATGAGATGGACCACATTATATAACATCATAGCTATTTGTATATTCGCATTCCAATTTAATATTATTTATCTCTGCATCTAAAATTCCATTCAGAATTTCCGGCCCAAGGAATATTTTTGAGAAAATTTTAAGAATAAATGAATAAATGTATGGCTAGTGACAGTAGAGAAACAAATTTTACCTACTGCTATCAAAATTGTGCCTATGTTATTTTATGGCTTTAAGACTGCTACATACCATGGAAGGAGAGGCTCTGACTATACAAAGGGCAGATGACAAAATAAAACAAAACAAATATAAAACAAAAAAAAAACACACATAAGCAATAAATTATTCTTTGCCAAATAAGTCAAATATATAAAGCACATTATATAATATTACTGGTTTTAATTGTCTGAAGCATTAAGAAGAATACTATTTTCTCAGCAAATAAACATGACCATGAAATACAGGAAAAAAAAAAAAACCTATTTGCTTTAATTCTGTTCCAAGTTAATTATTGCTTTTTAACTTTTTTCTCTTTTTTTTTTTTTGCCGTCAAAATAGTGTTTATTTCACTTTGCGTCTGCCCTGTGCTCTAGCGCCTCCTCTCTGGGGCGGCGTGTGGGGCTCACTCTCTATCTGACCACTGGCTGGGGGTGTCGGATGGCTTGGGGAACCCGGAACCGAGGAAGGCAGTAAGAGCTGGACAAACAGTCGGAAGATGCACCGCGGCCTACAGCGCTGGCGGACCATGCTGCGCGCCCCTCCGCTGGGGAGGCGCCGTCGGGACTGCTGAGCGGCAGGGTGCCGGGCGTGCCCGCTCACAGGCGGTCCATCCGGAAGGTGTCGTCGGTGGCTGGGTCGGCCAGAACCAGGCTCGGGTCGTTGAGCATGTGCAGTCCGTCGAGGGTCAGGGGGTGGATCTTGGGTTCATCCCCGGGAAACCGGCTGTCCGAGTCGAAGCTGACGTTGCCGACCCCGGCCAGAGAGCTGGTCAGTTCTTTAGAGAGGCTGGGGAGGGACTTTCCTGTCACTGTGAGGATGATGTTGGGGAGGCCACTGTTGCTGGCATAGCGCAGCTGCTGCGAGTCCGGTAGGCTCCCGTGGCTGCCGGTGAGGCCCGTCATGGCCGCCTGCAAGTAGTTGAGAGTGGAGCCGGGGCTGTGCCGGCTGCTGGAGCTGATGGCGTTCTCCATCATGCTGAACTGCTCCAGCAGAGTGATGATGGGTGACAGCGGGGACAGGGTGGGCGACGCCTGTTGATGCCTCGTCTCTGTGCTCAGGGACAGGGGGCTAACGCCGGGTAGGCGGTGCTATGGAGAGGACCCAGGTGTGCTCATCCCCTGGCCGGCGCCGCGGATGCCCAGGTGCGTCAGGTTGGCCGCGAGGTTGCCGGTGCTGCTGGAGCTGCTTGGCGCGGGGAAGGTGGGCTCCTCGGGGTCCAGCAGGGTCGGGAGCGGGGAGGGAGCCCCAGTGTTGTGGGTGGCGGGGATCAGGGCTGTAGTGTTTTCCTGGTTGGCTGATAGGAAGATGTTGATTCCGGGGACCTCACAGGACTTGGGCCTGGACCCGGTCTTCTTGGTATCCCACGCTTGCTTGGAAAGGTTTTTGTCTGCCTCTGATATGGTCTCTTCCATTCCCGGGACTGTTATCAGTAAGACTCTTTTCTGGTGC